TGAGGTCGTCGATGTCCTGCTGGTGCGTGTGGTTTTTCCGGCGCATGTACTGGATGTACTCTGTGGCTTTGTCCAGGATTTGGGCCCGGGATGCCTGTTGCAATAGTGGGAAAAGACAGAGGCGAAATAAAGACCTAGCCCTGGGGTTACTGACGGGGTTTTGTCTGCCCCGTCCCACCCGCAGGACAGCAGAAAGGATTTTGCCGTTGCTCTGCTGTTCCAATGTCACCGGGCGAACCAAAACCCAGCTCTTGTCCCCACTGGGGACCACCGTGGTGGGGCAGAGCCTCGCTGGCACCAGGAAGGGTCGTTTCTGGACCCTGCTGATGGCGCTCAGCTTGGGCCGAGAGAGGCGGCCCCAGCCAAAACGTCCCCGATGGTGGCATCCTGAAACGAGAAGCCACTGTCATGCACGAGGGTGCCGACAGCCTCACTGCTGCCCGTGCAGCCGCCAAGCAAAGTGCCGCTATTCTCGCTTTATTCTCGCTCCATTCAGAGCTGCCCCGCAGCTGAGCCCAGATGATCCAGCTGCACGAGGTGGATTTGCCCTCTCGGCCTTCCCAAAAAACCAGGCAGAGGCTGGGCCTGGGTATCTCGGTCCGGCAGCGAGCGGGCAGGGTCGGGGTGCACAATGTGCCCCCAGGAATGCTGTTTGGCAGGCCCTGCGGGCAAGGAACCGCAGCTCGGCCCTGCTGCCGTGCCTTCCCGTTGTTGCCGTGGAAATCCCCGTCCGGCCTCAGCGTTGCGGGCTGGGATTCCGGGTGGGTGTGTGGCCGGGCTCCCGCCACGCTCCACAAACTCACCTTCTCTCCTTGGAGGGAGGGGACGGAGTCCCGCAGGCTGTGGAAGCTGTCCTTGATGTGGTCCCTGCGCTTGCGCTCCAGCGCGTTGTGATGAGCCCGTTTGTCAGCCTGAGAGGGAAGGGAGAGGGGAAGCCTGAGGGGATGGCACCAGGGGGGAAACCACGACCTGCTCCCATCTCCCGTGGGTGCTGCAGGACAGCCAGAAGTGAATGTGAAAAGCCTCGTTAGCGTTTTGGCAGCCGTTGCGCTTTGCCCGGCGGAGAGGCCAGGGCAGGAGGAGCCAGGCTGCTGATCTTCACCCCAAAACCTTGTGCTGGCAGCTCCAGACAAGGTGCCTGGAGCTGGTGCAGGAGCTCAGCTGAACCCCAGAGCCCTCCTCAGCTGGGCGGCACGGTGCCTCTGACACCTCCCGCTCTACCTCAGCAGTGGTGCAAGGGCGTGGGAAGGAGGTGGCTCCGGTTGCTTTCATTTTCCCCCGGCCCATCGGAGCAAGCAGGAAGC